TCAGGGGCCAGGACTGCCCCATGCTGGGGTTGGACAAGCTGGTCAGGGGCCAGGACTGCTCCATGCTGGGGTTGCACAGGCTGGTCAGGGGCCAGAACTGCTCCCTGCTGAGGTTGGACAAGCTGGTTGACAGCAGCCTGAGCCAGCGCTGCTCCCTGCTGGGCTTGATCTTGGTCCGCCTCCATCTCTGCCCGCGCCATCTCTGCCTCCCAGGCGACGTCGTCAGCGTCCCTCTCTTCGCCTTCTCTCTCGTCGGCGATGTGCGTGGTCTTGGCGGCAATGATGTTGGCAGCGCGGTGGGCCATGCTTGTCAAAAACCGCCTGAGGTCGTCCGTCGTCTTCTCACTATCCTTCAGTTTCATGCACGCCTTCCGGATCGCCGCATCCGTCAGCTTGTTCATCACTGCAGGATCACGGCGAGGTTGGAGCCCGTGCTGGTCTGCCCGAGTGAAGTCAGTGGAGTCACGCCCCTCAACTTTCCTGAGTGTATCTGGAAGCAAAAAAAGTAACACTGTAAAATTTTTTTATTGGGGACTGTCCTAAGAAAAAACCAGTAAAGCGCCCTTGTGGCCCTGTGCTGAAGGGGAAAGAGTGAGGAAGGGGGCTCTTTGCCCTCCGTTAGAGACAGTCTACGGAACTGTCTAAAAACCATGGGACTTACCGATGAACTCCCACACGTTCAGGTGCGTCTTTTCAGCAGTCCTTCTCAGGTAGTTGTTCCAACTCTCCACGTCATTGTTAGTGCGCCGTGGTAATTCGTACACCGACAAGACGTTAACACCAATCTGCAATCGTGAAGTAATGATGATCCTATTGCGTTTCATTCTGTGTACGAAGCGACCAGATCTGGACATTTCAGCTTCAGAACAGTATTAATGGGGGAGGGGGGCTGATGTGCTGGCCGGGACCACAGCCTCTGCAGGTGGTCCATGGCCTAGAGACTCTACTACGGGTGCGTGGTGTAAGCCAAACGTTTTTTTTTTTCTGGTTATACTGTGCCATGTAGCCGTGGGGACGGTCTTGCCCACCGACTCTCACTACGGCGCCTCATGGCCCCGTGCAAGTATGCAACGCGCCCGCATTCCTGTACCAGGTGGCTGATTAACCCCGCTCACTTCTGTACTATGCTGTACCGTATGCACGAGTGCGGGCGGGTTGCCTACTCGCTCGGCTCGCAAGGCACCGTGGACAGGGGCGATAGCCAAGCCAGTCCGCACTCGTGCATGCGGTACAGCATAGTACAGAAGAGAGCGGGGTTAATCAGCCACCTGGTATGCAGTACAGTGTAACGAGAAAAATAGTCCGGCTTCCATCACCCACCCTGTCTGAGCGAGACTGTCGCCGGCACAGCACCCTTTCCATAGTACTGCCCTGAGTATTTCAGAACAAAACTTCACTCGTACCCTTCCCATCCAGTAGACTTGCACATGGCGAAGCAGGGCCCGCACGCCGGCCACCTGCGTCCGGGAGAGGTCTTGCAGCTCCTCTGCGGCAGGCCGAATCACCTCCTCCAGGCCGCGGCGCATCAGCTCCGCAGGAAGCAGCGGCAGGCATCCCACCATCCTGAAGACCTGCATGGGACCCTCTTGGGCTTTCAGAGGTCGCAGGGGCGCTTGGGCGGTGTACCGATCAATTCTCTGTAAGGAAGGAGAAAAATGTTTTGTGAGGAAACGAATTGATAAGTGCGTGCGTATGTATGAGAGAGTGAGTGAGTGAGAGAGAGATAGAGAGAGAGAGATGGCATTCAGAGAAACTTACCCTGCTGTAGTGCGACCAGCACCCATGCTGTGGTGGTTCTGGCCACACAGCCGCTACCCCGCCCCGCATCGCCGTCTCGAAATCCATCATGAAGGAATTGATCCTTAAATCAGGGTGCTCCCCAGCGATAAACTGGAAGACTGCCGTGTAATCAGGAGTCTTTCTCCTGGTC